TCACTCACAGCGCCCTTACTGCATTTTCATTTAAAATTTCCTTTCAAACGTCCCCTTCAGTTTAAATACGACAGAAAATACCTTTACTTGGCATTTTATGACCCGCATCCTGTGGATTTAAAACTTTAAAAATATTTTTACAGTTATTTCCAAATTATGCATAGTTGTAACTTCTGTTCTGTGGAAAAGAGGGTTGTCAGAGATGGCGCAGCTGGGCTCACAAAGTGGGGGACCTGCCTGCTCACTGGGTTCAGAGGACACTTACTGCCTTTGCCCTGGGGAGACATGGGAGCCTCATTGTGCATCTCATTATCGCTACATCCAGAGCCTCTCTTACTTACGTTAATTAAAAGACAGCAGTGGACCTCAGGCTGTGTGGATTTTACAATGTTGGAGCTGAACGAGGCCTTGAAGACATCTGGGTAATATCTTATTTAATAGAACCGACATACTTGTTTGTTTCCATTTTAAGACTACTTTTGTTGTTTGGGGGGATGTTCATAACCTACATCATTATCCTGGATCCGAAAGTGGGTTCTGTTTGCACTGAGAAGAAGGGTGTGGGGCTTTTAATATTGTGGTTTGGGTTGTCAGTATGATAGACTTTTAGTATTTTCATCATATGCTTAATATTTGAGAGTTCCGATGATTAGTAGAAAAAGTTGAGCTCCTTTTACTTATCTTCTGTTGATTTTATTTTGAAAAACCGTCATAAAACTTGGTGTTCTGTTCTTTCACAAGAAAGAAAACAGTTGATAAGAATGTGCTCGAATTGTAATGCCAGAAATCTTGAGCTCGAGTAATTAAGAATAGTTTTTCATAACTTTAATGGGCACAAGGAGACAGTTCAGCGGCTCATACAGCTTCAGTTCATGTAGTGGTCTGTGTATCAGGCCAAATGTCCGCGTCTTCAGGAAGACAGCGCGTTGTGTCACACACGACTGGAAAATCCCCCGCGGAGGAGATAACGCGTGACCACTGGCCTCTCCTTCAGCCTGAGGCCGACTTCAGTCTTTTCTTATTATCGACTCACACGGACAAATAAACAAACAAATAGCCTCAGGACCTCTGGCTCTTGAATGACCCATTTCACCGGAAATGAATTTATGTGCTTTGTCAATTTATGTCTCTAATTAGAAGGTACTGTCAAGTTCACATTTTCACATTGGAATGTCAGTCTCATAATCATTAGTGACTGCGAGCATCCCTCTGACTGACGTGCCACAGTTTACCGTGTCCTCGTTATTGGATATTTGAGAGGGTTGCCAGGGTTTCACTGTTTTTACAAAAAGTGTTGCTATGAATAATCATTGTATAATTTTTGTCAGAAAGCAAGGCCTACTTTTTTTGATTGAATTTATTGGGATGACATTGGTTAATAAAATTATATAGGTTTCAGGGATACAGTTCTATAATACATCATCTGGGTATTGTGTGTTCACCACCCCAGATCAAGTCTCCTTTTATCCCCTCTGTGTCCTCTCCCTCCCCACCCCCTTCACCCTCCCCCAATCCTCTTCCCCTCTGGTACTCACCATGCTGTTGTCCGAGGTTTTGTGTTTTTTCTTAATCCCGTCACCTTTTTCACCCAGCCCCACAATGCCCCTCCCATCTGGCAGCTGCCAGTCTGTCTTCTACCTATGAGTCTGTCTCTATTTTCTTTGTTAGTTTATTTTGTCCATTAGAGTCCACATATGCATGAAATCATATATTTGTCTTTCTCTGACTGGCTTTTTTTAACTTAGTGTCATGCTCTCCAGGTCTATCCGCACTGTCACAAAGGGTAAGATCTCCTTATTTTTTACAGCTCAGTAGTATTCCGTTGTGTAAATGTACCACCACTTTTTCATCCACTAATCTGCTGCTGGGCACTTGGGCTGCTTGCACCCGTCATGCAGGGCTGGCGTTCTCTTTTTGCTCCCTTGACTGTCGGCTGCTGCAACCCTCCACATCGGGGACCTTGCCTCAGACGCCTGTGTCCCCTGCATCTTCCGCAGCCCCTCACACACAATGCAGTCTCCCTGTTTAGATAGTCAGTAGTGGCTGTGCTTTAGTTTCAATTAAATTCGTATTAAAGAAATTTGAGACAATGAGCTTCTATGATAGCACATGTGATGAACCACTCTTTGTACTTGTGGTAAGACAGGTTTTCTTCCGAGGGAAAAGCTGTTTCTGTTATTTTCTTAATTTAGCCATTGGGCACCTTTCATACATCCTAGGAATGTGTCACCGTGCAGTAGCCCTTTGGAGTGTACAGGTGCCCTGGAGATTGTGAACGGTTCTGCTTGCTGCTCAGTTTTCTGTAGTATCAAGTGGGTTTTTCATGGACGTGAAAATTCTTGGTGCCTCCAGTTGTGTGCTGTCTCGGTGGCAGGCAGTGCTGCTAGGTACAGGACGTAGCTGAAACCCCTGGCCTGGTGCTGCATGAGACTGGGAGTCGGGGGCGTTGGGGGCGGGGGCAGGAAAGCTGCTGGTTTAATAGAAATTAATAACCGATGCTTAGTCCAGCCGGTGTGGCTCAGTGGTTGAGCATCGACCCATGCACCAAGAGGTCGCCAGTTCGATTCCTGGGCAGGACGCATGCCCAGGTTGTGGGCCCGATCCCCAATGGGGGGCATGCAGGAGGTGGCCAATCGATGTTCTGTCTCCCTCTCCCTCTCCCTTCCTCTCTCTAAAATCAGTAAAGAAAAAAAAAGTAACCAATGCTTAATAGTCTGCTGTAAGTTATGTTAAATTCTCTGGCAGCTGGCCTGCTCACCAGAACCTACAACACACCCAGCAAGGAAGCCTGCTGTACCAGGCTGATGCCAAGGTTGGGTGCCTGGGGTGGGCTGGCATCTGCATTTGTATCCTGGGCTCTCAGGCAGCTGAAAGTGAACAGAGATGTGCCCCGTGTGAAATTCCAACCAGGAGAGAGTTCTCAGAAGGAACCAGGGAAATCTAGTTGGTCTGTGTGCGCGCCTGTGGGTACTCTTGGGGTAGAAAGTACAAATTGAAAATATTAGGAGAGGTATCAGGGGAGGGTGGTCCAGGGCCAGGGTAAGGCCTGTGGTACTCACAGCACCCTGTGGTCAGTTCTAACACTGCGGTTCATGTGGGTTGGTTGGTTGAAGGTGCACAGCTTTCTGTGGGCCTTGGAGCAGATCTGCTGAACTCACTTATAAAGTGGTATTTGGACTGGATGGCGTCCAAGTTTCAGTCCAGCTCTCACATGCAATTATTGTGGCTCATTTTTTTTTACTCAGATAACATTTTATGTTTACATTTTTACACTTTGGGATCTTTTCCTAACTGGTGTTAGACTCTAGTTCTGATACATAGTTCGGGTATCTATGATATAAGCTAATCATGGTAAATTAAATTTTGCAGTAATTTGGTGTTTGCAGTAGTTTGGTTAAAGAACTCAAATTACATTCACTTCCTATTGTGCAGAGCCATGCAAACATGTTTGAACCAGGAAATGTCTTTCACAAAAGTACAACTATGTCTGTGCTTATAATGAAAAATAGTGCTGTTAGATCGTTCCTCTAGGAAAGATGTATTCTGGTACAAAGAAGCAGTCCCCACTTTGGGGAGGTACTAGAGAGTGGTGGTATTAGATGAGTTCCCAAGGTCACATGCCAGGTCTGCCACTTGAGAGCTCTCGACTTGACGTTTGCCCTATGCCTCCTTGAGCGTTAGCTGAGGATGAACCCATGGGGCCATGGTCCAGGTGGAATGTGATGTACACGTCAAGCTCTTACTCAGTGCTGGCCCGTAAGCACATCCATCGATGTGAGTTCCGCTGCAGGGGAAGCGTTCAGATACGGCATTTTGGGGCAAAGGATTTTTTTGAAATATTCTTTGTTTATTTGTTTTTTGAGAGAGAGGAAGAAGAGAGAGAGAGAAATATCAATCAGTTGCCTCCCATATATGCTCCAACTGGGGATCGAACCTGTGACCTGTTGGAGCACAGAATGATGCTCCAGCCAGCTGAGCCACCTGCCAGGGTGAGGCAAAGGACTTTTGTATCATCGCTTGTCAAGTCAGTGGTACCAGCGCTGGCTACCATAGAGTTGACTGTGTAATTTCAGTAGTGTCTTTCTCCAGTTGGCATACATTTTTGTTCTTGGTTTGGTTCATTTACTTTCTGCGTCTAAGAAGGTGAATTTAGGCAATAACGAGCCCCATCATCAGCCAGAAGCTATTTACTGAACTCTTTGTGAGCAGAGCACTGTGCTGGCCCTGGCAACAGAGCAAGGGCCGCGGGACAAGGGGGAGGAAAGTAGGGGGAAGTCATCTCTGCTCCTAGGGATTTACTGATCTAGTTGGAGAGAAAGTATATCCAGGGCATGCAGAGGACACAGATTGCCTTTGGGTATTGTCAGAATCCATTATGTTAATTATCTATTTTTACTAGACCCCATTACTATAAGATAGTATTGTGTAGGTCTTTTCTGATCTGCACACAGACCTGCCCATGAAATCCTCTTGCCTGTGGGAAACAGAGCTGTTTACCTTGATAACACCTTTCTGGGCTGCCTTTCCAGGTCGTTGATGCAGGCTTTGTTTGCTGCGGCCGCATCCCATCTGCCCCATCCTCATTACGGACACTTCCTGGCAGCCCCTGCCTCTCTGGGCTCTGGGGATCCTGGCTCCATTTGCCTGACATGTAGATAAAGATGTCCAGGGTCCAGCTGAAAAGGAAGGTGAGGAGAATAGTGGCAGATGCTGTCTTTGTCTGGAACCATGGCCTTCTTGCCACAACCCTCAGAATGTTCTCCGTGGTGATGCAAATGAGAATCCTGGCATTTGCACGTGGGAGCAGAGCCAGGCTGCGGTTCCGGTTGCAGACTTGTTTACGGGGCCCATTGTCTGGACCCTGCGCTGTCCCGGACCCTGAGCTGACCCACTCCCTGCCCTCTCCTGGCTTCCTTCATCCCTGGCGCTGTATTTCTCTGTCAGGTGGCCCCATTTTTAAGGCAAATCTCATTAACGCATTTTTCTCTCTCCTCCTCCAGGGGAGCTGCTGAGTCAGCCCAGACCAGAAGGAGTGGCCGAGATCATTTGCCCCAAGAACGGCAGTGAGCGAGTGAACGTTGCCTTGGTTTACCCACCTACACCGACTGTGATCAGCCCCTGTTCCAAGTGAGTTCTGAACGGGGCAGCCCCTGCCCCTCCCTCCTGATCCTGCCTGGGTAGTTGTGATAACAAAAAGCCAAGTTCAAGTATATCTCAACAGACCTTCCCACCGGCAGACGTAGTTATCTGGGTGACTTCAATACCGTGGCTTATGTAGCAAACCAGGAACTTTTTAAAAAACACTTTTGCTGAAAAAGAGAGCATTTTTAACAGCTTTATTAAGATATCATTTATATACCACACAGTTCACTCATCTAAAGTAAGTGTATAATTCATTTTTGCAGATACATGCGACCAAAAAAAAGCATTTTTTGACAGCTAGTCTTAATTCTGTCATTGCAGAAGTAAGTGGGCCCTCACTTCAAGGAACAGTGAGAGCCCGTTAAATAAGAAGAACTGCTGAGCATCCGTGGTAGATGCTTTGCTCTCTGTGTCTTTGGCTCCGTATCAGCCCTTGATCATCAGACACTGTGCTGTCTGCGCTCATCCTCCCCGAAGAGGATTTAAAGACGGAGAATGTACCTGCGTGAACTAACTTTTGGATATGATGTTAGCTTAGTTTTCTGGATAAAATTCAACCTGGTTTTGGGGGGTTTTGTGTTTTTTTTTGTTTGTTTTTTGTAGTATGAAGAGCCAAACAGTGAAACCACTTTTAAACTGAGAAGAAATACCTTCTTACCGCAATTCTTGAACAGTCGCAGCCACAGGTCTTCTTGGAGCAGATCTGGTATCTGGGCGCTCTCGTGACAGCAAAGGTTTCATGCAGGAAGCTTTCATTTCTCTTCTTAGTTGACCACATAGAATTTTTTTTTCATATATAAGCTTTTTACAGGGAGGTTGGGAAGTGGGCCTTAGAGGGTGGCGCCTGTCATCTCATCTGGAGGAACTTGCTATCAGGCTGCTGTGGCGAGTGTGTCCCTGAGGAGGTGTCGCTGTCATGCCCCCAAAGGGGTGGTGGGGGCTGGGGCTGCACATTCTCGTTCATCAACAGCTGCAGTAGAAGATTGCTGTCCCTTTTCTCCAAACTGGGCGACTCCTTAGACAGAACCTTCCTAATCCCTCTTTCCTGGGAAATATCACTGAGCACCAGAAGAAACCCTTCTCTAACACCATTATATCCGGGATGCTATTTTAGCTAATGTGATTGTAGATAGTGTAATTCCTCACTAACATGCATCTAAGAAACTGTCAGATCTTGAAGTGCTTCTTAAATAGGAAGTAGGATTACTAGTAACTTCGTGTTAATCAGAAAATCCCAGTCTTGAACATATCAAACAATAGAATGTTCACGGGTCTTTGAATTGGTCCCTTCGTTCAGATACACTAGGGAAGGACAAGGGGGGGTTACATAAACAGCAGGGTGTGGAATGGAGAGAAACTATTGCTCAATACACTTTGCACTGGTGTAGATTTTCCTGAGCCCAGAGAGACATTAACCTATTGTTTTGCCACAGCCACGTGGCATTTAGTAGGCGAGATAGAGTTAGGACTTACGATATCCATTTGCACCCGAAACCGCAGTGGCCCGGAGCCAGCTCTGTCAGTGTTTTCCCATGGGCTTCTTGTAGTACCGCCACGGAGAGACACTTACAGCAACCTGGAAAAATGCTGTCAGCCCGTCTCACACACAGTTTATTATACCGAAACGAACAAGTCTTTAAAGTCCTGGGTAATCAGAGCCACCCAGCCTCAGACATCTAGATGCTGGAGGGAATACCTGCAGGATTGAACTGCTTTGGACCTAGCTCTGTGAATGGTTTTATTTTGAAATGGATTTTTTTTTTTTTAAAAGCCTCATACAATGGATGGCAGGTTTGGAGTGTAGGTCTCAATTCTAAATGAAGGAAACCTATGAAAACAAACACATCCAGGCCAGGCCCCAGGGGAGGCCTAACTTACAAGTAGATGACAATCTATTGGAAGCAGGAGATTTAGGAGACCGATGAGGAAAGTGTTATAGGAGGTGATAGTTACATCAACACAGCTGGGGGCTGAGTCTGAGACTTAGACTAGAGGTCCCAGCAGGCAGGAGACATTGGGAGGCGGGGGCTCTTGCCCTGGCCATGTAACTCCAGCCAACTTAACGTAAGCAGGTCACTGCAGAGTGATCTTTGGCTTCTGTCATCCCATTAGCAGGTGGACGGTGCTGAGGTTGGGCCCCCTGGCCAGTGGGCCTTACAAGCAAAACTGATCCATGCTGCATCGATCGGCACAACCCATTCCACCCGCAGTTCACCTTTAGAGCTGAACACATAATTTATTGTTCAAATCATGGAAGGATTGAGAGTGACAGGAAGACTTCTGATACTTACTGTGCCGGGCCGAAAGGTATCGCCCAGAACTGTCCAGGCAGACCAGAGTAATCACCCTACTCTCAGGCCACCGCGCTAGAGCTTATGGTGGTTTTAGAAAGACATTCCAAGTTCCTCTTCGACCACCTTACTCCTCTCCTTTATAGAAGTCAGAGGCTTATCCTGTAGCTGCCTGCCTTTGACCAACTGTGTATACAGTAATGATGCTCAGGGTGCTTTATGAAGAAAAACCAGTGAGGAGTGTCACTGATTGGATATTCCTTATGCATTCCCAGCTTTTCAATTGCTCATTTAAAAAATATTCAAGGTATTTTATTCCCCAGTCGGGAGAGACAGAATAAAGAACAGAGAGTGATTTTTTAAAAACGTGATTTCCTCTCATAACTCGTCTCAGTGGTTGGTGGCTGAGGTCTGGACAAACATTGCACTGGGGGGAGGTGACATGTCCCGAATGACATGAAATGCCTCTCCTCCTGCACCTCAGCCTCCAGGGGGACACCACGGGGCTGAGTAGCTTCTTGTCCACTGTGCTGATTATCAGATAATCATTTCCATACTTTGGCCATTCCGGGCTGGTTTTCAAAAATATTTGCATTTGAGATGAGATGAAAATTTATCAAATTTGCCGGGTTTCTCTAAAAAATTCTGACCTCCTTAAGGATATGAATTGAAACATTTTTAAAAGCTATATTGAGGTTACTTTCATACCATAAAACTGGCCTATTCAGTGATTATGAATATATTTGCACTGCCAACAGAGTCTGATTTTAGGACATTTTCATCACTCCTGCCCATTGGTAGTCACCTGTGTCGAATACAGCACCTAGTTCCCTGCAGTCAGTACATATTTTTAGTATCACTTCCAGGAATTACTTTGCTGCCTGTTGTGTGGTATTAAACAGATTTATAGTTCTAAAGAAATTCTCGCCTACACATGTTATCCCTGGCCCAGCTCAGTCTGAAGGCAGTGACTTGACTTACACCCCCACTGCCGGTCCCCTGTTTACTGGACAATACAGGGGGGTCGGAACTGCTTGGAGGGAGATCAGCCTCCTTCAGAAATTCTTTTTTTAGTATAGGTAACAATTTTGAACATAGACTTTATTTTTAAATATTTTTTTAATTGATTTTAGAGAGAAAGGAAGGGAGAGGGAGAGAGATAGAAACATCGAGTAGAGAGAACATCAAATGGTTGCCTCCTGCATGCCCCCCACTGAGGATAGGCCCGAAACCTGGGCATGTGCCCTGACCGGGAATCGAACTGGCGACCGCTTGGTGCATGGGTCGATGCTCAACCACTGAGCCACACCAGCCGGGCTAGACTATTTATTTATCCTCACCTGAGGATATTTTTTGCATTTATCTTCAGATAGAGCGGAAGGGAGAGAGGGAGGAAGAGAGAGAGAAGCATTGATGTGAGAGAGACACATCAACTGGTTGCCACCCACACAACCCCAACTGGGGCCGGGGACAAACTGCAGCCGAGGTACTTGCCCGTAGCAGGAACCGAACCCGGGTCTCTCTGGTCCATGGGCCGACGCTCTAACTGCTGACCCACACCAGCCGGGCTAGACTTTATTTTTTAGAGCAGTTTAGGTTCACAACAACAGTGAGCAGAAGGGACAGAGATCCCATGTGCCCTTTGCCTCCACGCATGCACACCCTCCCCCATCACCACCCCCGGAACGTACATCTGCTGCCTGAGGAAGCTACGCTGACACGTGATCACCGAAGTCCACGGTTTCCAGTAGAGTCCGCTCTGGGTGATGTGCAGTCTGTGGGTCTGGACAAATGTGTAGTGGCCTGTATCATACTACAGTAGCATACACAGGATTTTCACTGCCCTAAAAGTCCTCCATGCTCCCCCTCCTTGTCCCCCTCCCCTTAACCCTTGGCAACCACTGATCTTTTTCTTTTCAGCATTATTGAGGCATCACTGACAAATGAAACCGTAAGGTACTTAAAGCGTGTGCCCTGGCGATTTAGTAGACGCGTACATTGTGAAAGGCTTGGCAGCACCTGGTGGCTGACATCCATCAGCCCATGGGTTCTCCTTCGGGGCTCCGGGACTCGGAGGGGGCGCTGAGACTTGGGCAGTGGGAGTCATAAGGGGCAAACCTATGCTTTCAGTGGGAAAAGGAAGGAGAAAGTAGAAGGATACTTTTGAAACGTCATTGAAAATGTTTTATTTGTGAATTTCTGTGTCCATCCTCTTGCTCTGCTGGTTGAGCTCCTTAAAATTTCCATCCAAAGGGAAGGTGTGAACTTTGGCAAACGGGAGCTCGGGCCTGCCTTTTCAGGTTCCGGTCGAATGTTTGTCTCTCCCATTTCCAAAGAGGTTTCGAACACACCTACCTCCTCGCCAGCTGACCCAGCTTATCTTCTGCTCTCTTCGGGTAAAAGACAGAATTCCACGGGTTAGCGTACGAAAACGCTTTACCTTAACGTGTCCTGGATTTCAGCCCACGTTCTTCCGTGGGGTTTGTTAGAGGACTGGTCCCTGAACACACAGGAAAGGACACCGTATCATTTTTATTTCCCGACAGTTGCCATCTCTCTCGTGTTGCTACCATGTCTGTCATCTGTGGAGCGGTAGCACTGAAAAGGAACTTTTTCTGATTTTGGCAGGGTGCATGTTATAGAATTAGAGAAAAACAGGCTGGTTTGCAATTGTTGGGACAAGCTTTCTCCTTTTCCAGAAAGTGCTACTGATAGTAGAAGGCAAGGCTGAGACCCTGCGGTTCAAAGCTGCCCTCTAAACTTGGGTTATCGTGTATGTACTGTAGCATTCCATTCAAGCAAGATCCCAGTAACATTCCAGCTACACACTGTTGTGAGTATGCGCAGAAATATAGTGATGCCTTTGCACAGCAGTGTTGGCAGTTATATTGTTATGACATAAAGGTATTTAAGACCAATTGAAATAGCCTTTTATAAAAAGTAGGACGAAGATGCTGCGGCCTTGATCTCACCAAATAAACAGGCAAAGTGTGTTTACCTGCACTCAGAGTAGTTAATAAGAGCTTGATAAAAAATGTTTTTAAACAATGGAGTGAGATAAATTTGGCTTTATCACACTGGAGACTTTTTTACTGACCCCAGATTTTTTAAGACACTGAAGGTGGGGAAAGCTGCCCGTGGGGTTTGCCCGGGGCGTGCAGCAGGTTGATTTGCATTGATTTGCTTTGTTCTTTGCAAAAAGTGGGGCAGCTCATGAGCCTTGCCGCTCTTACAGGCGAGGAGCAAGTGCTTCTTTGATGGTGTAGTCTCCCGTCAGCCACATTGATACTGGACTTTGTTCCCTCTCTGCTTAGGTATCTTCATACTTTCTTGGAAAATTAAGTGGAAAAGATAGTGCTTCTTTCCCTATGCCATCATTTACTGTGCCCAGTCTGTGACTTTAGGAGCACCAGTGTTTAAGGGTAAGTCTCTGGGAAGCAGAGAGGGTTTCTTACCTAGATAAGGGCTTCCTGCAGACTTGGAGAGTTTAGGGGGAAAGGGGGGTAAGGTTTGGGATGAAAAGATTCTCTAGAGCCTGGCTGGCATGGCTCAGTGGATTGAGTGCTGTCCCCTGGACTGAGAGGTCCCAATTCAATTCCTGGTCAGGGCACATGCCCAGGTCGCGGGCTCAATCCCCAGTAGGGGGCGTGCAGAAGGCAGCCCATCCATGCTTCTCTCTCACATCGATGTTTCTCTCTCTCTCTCCATAAAAAATCAATAAAAACATGAAGAAAAAAAACAAGATTCTCTAGAGCAGGACAGATTACAAATCTTTATTTATCCAGAATCAAGACACATTTGGGAATTAAGAAGAAGGAAATTGTTTGATTCTTTTGCCTAACTTACTATAATATTGCATATATTCGTAATCAGAATCTTGTTGGAAAAAAGAAGTCATCTAAAATATTACTTGAAAATTAGGCAGGATGTTAATAGCAGAAAAAGCTCAAGTGGATTAGCACAGCCAATAGCTTTCTAAAATCAGTGTTTGTATGTATTTTCTCCAGCACTTGGATGGGCTCAGGAGTTAACTTCCTGAGCTTGAATCTCCCTGACTCATTATGCAGTGAGGTAGGCGGCTCACATGGCAGATGCAGATTGCAGAAGCACTGATCTCGGGGGTCACTGTGAGCACTAAGAGACTGTCGCAGGGACAGCATTTGGCAGCAGTATTCCTCACGCTGAGTAAATAGCGCTCAATAAATTCGGTTGCTGTTCTTTCTACTCGGAATTGTTAGTGGTGTACACTGGGGGTGGCACATAAAGGTAATAATAAAAAACAAAATTTCAAAATGCAAATAGAAACAGTTGAGTAAAATCCTCCCTCTGACTTCCTAGCAGAGTTGAGCTTATTACTGGAGGTGCCCGCCCAAGGAAGGTCCATGAGTGCCGGATGGACCTTCCTCCTCGCCCAGGAAGGCTCAGGGATCCAGGAGGCTCTGGCGATGAGCCACCTGCAGTTGCCCAGTGAGCATCAATACCCGGAGTGGAGCCCCACACCACGGGTCCTGAGTGCGCAGCCGGGCCTGAAATCCACGCTGGGGCTCCCGGATCGGGGCTGTTTTCACAGCAAGTTCTTCCACATTGCTGTTAAAATGGAGCGTATTCCTAGAACACTGCAGGTGTAGTGAGGCCAACAGACCAGGAAACAGCTGCCATTGGAAGGACAGCTCATGACTCACCTCTCCTCACGACAGACGTGCCGTGCAGACGGTCCAAGGCGGAGAGAGGGAGGGGCTGTGGGCAAGAGCCTGGGCTGTGCTTCTGTGGGAAGGGGACCAGGCAGGGTGAACAGGCAGGAATGGCGTTTGGATATTGCCGTGGGCCCTGGCTGTCTGGTACCAGGCCCTTGGGGGTGACGAGGGCAGGTGAATGGTGGCCCAGTGTGAGAGCCGATAGAGGAGGTGGTTGGGGCACGGGCTCTGGATCGTCACTCTGTACTGGAGAAGCACGCTCACATTGGAGTTGTCTGCTGTCACTGGGAACTGTCTAACACTGGAGGGCAGTCCGTCCAGGGGCAGCAGGACCCCAGACAGCAAAGCTTCAGAATGAGGAAAAGGAAAGCTGGTTACTACATCATGGCATGGCTTCCGTTTCAGCCCAGGCTTCTAAATACCTTGAATAATTTTGCTGCATCAGGAATGCATGTTCCATAACTTGGAGGATTCTGGTCTGAGACCCCCCCACCCCAAGCTGACCTCTCTCTTCTACTCCAGGCCTTGTTGCCCACTTCCTGCCTGGCAGCCCCTTGGAGGGCCTGCAGGCTCCACAGGTGTGAATGATCGTCTTCCTCCCTCAGGGCCCTTCCTCACCCTGTTCCCACCCGGCTGGAAAGCTGGGAATCTGTCAGCTTCCACACTTTCCTGCTTCTCCATAAGCAGACCTGTTGTCCCGTCTTATCGGTGTGCTTGACAAGAGTGAATTTGGCCGGGCAACTTTCTCTTCTGCTGCACTGTCCTCTGGGCCCACCCATCTGCCAGGATTCCTGTGCTCGAGTCTCAACTGGCCTATTCTCTAGTCCTTTTGTTTTTCAAACTAATATTATCGAATGAGAAACCATTCCCAGTATTTCTTATGCCCCTCCACTATAGTAATGCACTTGGCTATTTTTTTAACTGTGACTTTTTCATCACATCTTATTAATTATTCATTCAGCAGATCTTTGTTGAGTATTTGTCCTCTGCTGGGCATTGTGCCCAGTGTTGAGGATGCAGAAATAACTGAGATAGACCCTACCCTCAAGGATCTAATTGCCTCCTGGGGGAGAAAGAACTGAAGTTATCACCAGGCAGTCTTGTGAGTAATTACAACTAAAATGTGATACCTGCTGAGATAGGTATACGACAGAGTCCCGGGGGCACAGAGAAGAAAGGATGCCACCTGCCAGAACTGGGGAACATTCTGGGAACTTGCTGGACCTTGATTGATGGGTGAGGACAAGTTTACGAGATGGGGCAGCAGTGAGCGGTGGGGAAGGTTGGTGACTGGATGGGTTTGGTTTTCTCTAAGAGCCCAAACACGACATGTGGTGTCAGTGCGGGAAAGGTTCAACCGGTTTTCCTTTTACTGCCTTCCACATTGGAATATTCCCTGCAGGTGCCCTTGATTCGGGGTTCTGGTATTTCTCAGTCCTATGTGTGGCTGGGGAGTGGGGTGCAGACAGCCAGACACAGCTGTCAGCATTTCCGAAGGCTCTTAGATTCCGCGAGGAAAACGTTTCCGTAGCACACGCGCCTGCGTGGCGTAGCACCAAAGTTCTGTGCTCGGCTGGACCGTGTTTTCACGCCGCTGTCCTCTTTACAGTTGGATGTGTTGAATTTGAGGCGGTCTTCGAAACTTTCTTTCTGTGGAGCTACTGTAGCAGTAGGCCTGCAAAGGGCCCTCGTGACTGAGTGCCAGCGAAACAGGAAACTGTCCTCGGGACCCCAAAGATTCCCACCTCCTGCGAAGGCCTGGCTCTGCCGCCCCCAGGCGGGTACCCTTACCCTCGCAAGTTATTTCTCCTCTTGGAGCCTTAGTTTGCTTCTTGGTAAGATTCAGGAGAAGAAAGTCTTTCCTGGTAGGACGGCGAGGAGCTGATGATTCATGCAGTAGTAGATACTAAATTATCAGTTCCCATAAAATCAGGGAGCCTTAGGAGAGATGGGGCGGAGGGTGAGGGAGAGAATCATAACCCCTTTGTGTCCTTCTGTGGTTTTTTTTTTTTTTTAATGTTGCTAAAATAGTTCCTAAGACATCACATCGCTTGCCACAGTAGGAAAGCCAAAATAAGGGATGGGGACATTTGCCATTTTTTTCCTCTTGTGTCTGAATTGAATGTCACTCTGTTTCGTGAGCTGAAGATCCAGCAGCTTTTTCATTTTGCAATTCCGGGGTTGAGTTTGACAGCCTTGCTTACGACACTTGAAGTAAAATCTGCCTTAGTCCAGAGGCCCATTCCTGCTTCTTAGTTTGTAGCCCGGCCCCCAGAGGCTTGTTGAGCATGTGGCTGGTGAGTTTCTGGAAGGGAGGCAGTGCTGTGCTTCGTTGGGGGGGGGGGGTCTTAATTAGAAATCTCGTGCAGCTGTGAGATCGCACGGCCTGCTGCTAGTATCCAATGGTGTGGTCTCCACGTCCGAGCCTCGGGCTGCCGACGGAAATGTTTGACAGGTGTCTAGTGAAAGGACTCTTTCCTTTGTAGGAACATTTGTTGCCTGACATTTGCATTTTTATAAGGCGTTCTAGACACAGAAATGAAAATCTGGGCAAAAACAGATCTGTAGTATCACGTCTTGTGCTTACAGGCGAGCATACCGTGACCTGAGGTCATTGCTTGCTTCTGTCTACCCACACAGGAAGAACGTTGGTGAAAAGCACAGAAACCAGTGACCTTTGTGGCTGTGGAGTTTCCGTGGAGAAAAGAGAGCATCCGAACTCAGCTGGACCGTCTTTCATGCCTGGTAAACCCGCCCCACTCCCGGGGTGCCCGTGGACTTGCGTCGTGTGCAGGGTGCTCTCAGAGACGGGAGCGCGGCCGACCGGCAGAGGAGGGGGAGGGCGGGAGAGAATGTGGAGCAAATGTTTTACAACCTGAACCTCAGAACTGTGATCCTCCAAGGAGAGCGCTACTTGAAGAAAAAGACAAAAAAAAAAAAAAAAAAAGTTGAATGGCTTCTCAGGGATTTTGTTTTCTGTGCACATATAAGCCATAGTTCCAGTACAAGTGGTGGTAGGTAGAGCACTCAGATTTCAGTTCTGTTCAGTGTGACAGAGGGAGCGACTGACCATTCATTGCTGTTCCGTAACTAGTGTAAAATATGTATATGTTTATCTTTATTTTTATAATATGCAAATACATTTAAATTTATACAGTTTGAAGCTTCTAGCGTTAGTTAACACTGGGTGCAATATTCGCATGAGAACTGTGCCAACCTGGGGCTGATTTCTTATTTTAGCATAAGACCCTTTAGTTCATTCTTTATTCTTTAATCCTTTTTAGATTAAAAAAAAAAAAAAAGGTATCTATCTGCCTGTGGCTTAAGGGTTGGTTCGCAGAGGTTGCCAATGAACCTCAGGCACCGTCTCCTCGCCTCCTAACGAAGGTCCCTGCCTGTGAGCTGGCGGGCAGGTGGGGGACTGTCCGTTTCTCTGCCCACATGTCACCACTGTGCAGCAGAGTGTCCTTGCTCCGGGCTTTCCTGTAGTCACTGCAGTGCCCTGACGGAGGTCTGGTGTGAGGACCCTTCAGCAGAGGAGGGCAAGTGGTCAGCAAGGCCACGGGAAACCTGAGTCTTTTACCAGCTTAAGATAATCAGGAGTCAGTTCTGCAGCATGCGGAGAACCCTGGTAATGGGGGCTTTTTCCTCCTAGAACAGAGTGTGTGACGTTGAGCAGAGCACTTGGGATAGCAAATGGCCTCCCTGGACAGCATAGGCCCCACTGGTTATTTATGCACACAGAGCCTCCGATGGGTCGGTTGGCTGCCAAGACCTAGTAAAACCCATTTTAAAATCTCCATGAAGCAAAACTTAAAAAGCAAACCCAACAAATTGCTTTCTCTTCGAATCCCAATGAGGGCCCAACAGCATCCACTGCAGTGGTAACACATTCCAGGCCGAGGGGTGTGCGCGACTCTGCGTCTGGCGCCTGTGTGTGCTGATCACAGTGCGAGACTGTGCACCAGTGAGGACGAAGGAGAGGCAGCTGGCGTGTTCCTTTATACGTGTCGCCTCTCGCAACGCTGCAGTGCACAGTCTCAGCGCAAGCGGCCGCATGGCAAAATATCACAAGTCGATTTTTGTAGAATATTTTGTGCCCAGGAGTTAACGTAACTAAATTCCAGAACCTCCAGTTAAACAAGGATGGTTTCTATGATCAGAAAGTCAAGTTGAATCAGACTATTTCTCCATTTTTCAATACTTGAATATCCCACCTCAGATTTGAGAATTCGCTGTTTTTTGAACACAGTCACAGAATTAATCTGGTGAATCCTTTTGTCACAGTTCTCGTGTGTGTGCATGCGTGTGCATGTGTGTGTGTGCGCGCGCGCGTGCATGTGTGTGAGGTTAAATGTAAACTGAAGGCTAACGTTTAATTGCTTTATGGACCATTGAATTGTTGAGTGTAAAAGTGTTTTAATTGGCACAAGACAGTCCCTAAACTGTCAAATTTTCTGATTTTGACCCATCTTTTGAAAAAACTCTCTTAAGTGGGTGACTTGGAGCTAATTCTTTAGGGGACCATATTAAATGAAAAAAAAAAAACAGCCCTGCAAAGAGTGTGTTGTTGTTATGAACATAAATGCCCATGTCCTTAATATCCGCTGTTTTCGACAAGTGGTGTTCTGTGCTGTCATCTGAACCCTAGAGAAGCAGTGAGAAGTCCTGGGGTCACATGCAGTTAAGTAAGGAGGCCAGCGCAGGAGAGGGTCATGTGACCCGAAGCAGCTCCAGAGAAGCTGGGGAACTTGCCTGGGGCGGAAGGGCTGAGAGACAGCACTGAGCTCGGGCCTGTGCAGGGAGGTCCTCTCCCGACACCGGGAAGACAGCACCGGGACAGGCAGCTCACGCCGCACAGGGGGTCTTCCTGCCAAGTAGGCCCCGGCCTCCCCAAGAAACACCCTTAGAGTTTGTTGTGGTTTCTCTTCCTCACTCTGTGGTAGCAAAACCACTTCCAGGACTTGTGAAGCGCTGCCCGAAATGTTCTCGCCCCAGGAGACAAGGACTGCGCTCACATTGCTCACATCGCGGGCGGAGGGCCGCTTGGAGTGCAGAGTGCACAGGGCTCCGCCGTCCTGGTGGGGGGGTAGTTTTCATGCCACGGTTTGTGAATTGTAATTGCAGCATCCTATTTAATTGTTGTAACTGGGCAGACATTTAAAAAAAAATTAAAACGTTCAATAAAAATACAAATGTTTAAGCAATTACATTTCCAGAGTTTAGTTATTTCTGTTTGTTTGTTTTTTATTTTTTTAAAGTTTGGATTGTGTCAGTTAAGGTGTAACTATTTTACATTTTTAGTGAAGTCGCTCTGGAGCTATGGGAGGTGGCTGGTGGCAGCCACGGTTGGGGATTAAGTCCCGAAGAGGAAAACTGTTGAAAACTCTGCCCCTGTTTTCAGGCTGGAGAGTCAACTCCTGAATGTCGGCTCTGGTCTCTTAACCAGAGCCTTTTCCAGTAGTCTGCTGTGCTCCCAGTCAGAGCTAATGAAGCAGATAAGCTTGCAAGTTCCCTTTCCCTGGGCTCTCAGAAGTCCGTGCCCCCACCTTGGTATTGTCGGGTTGGAGGGGGTATATTTCAGGCCGAAAGGGCAGATCCTCAGGTACCAGGTCAGAGGCTCTGTTCTTCCTGTTTGTTCTAAAGGACAGTGGAGAAGGTAAGCAAAGGAAAAGACAGGCTGCTTCCTGCAGAAGCCACAGCCGCTAGGGAAGCCCCACCCTGGAGTGCTGGGGCTTTGGGGGTACAGAGAAGAAGGGGCCCCCTGGCCAGGAGGGCTTCGCCCTGAGACTCCTGAGAAGGTCGGTGGAGCCCCTGGGAGCCCTGAATCCAAAGGCACCTCTGCCAGCAGAGAAGCTGAACCCGTGTGGCCGTCCGAATTCTCAGAAGCTCCATGGGAACAGGTTTGCGTGGAAGGGCTGGTCAGGTGAGCGAGGCCGTCCGAATTCTCAGAAGCTCCATGGGAACAGGTTTGTGTGGAAGGGCTGGTCAGGTGAGCGAGGCCCTGCTTCCTTCCTGGCGAGCAGAGCAGGAGGATCGAAAGCCTTCACTGGGGCCTGTTTTTCCTTCACCAAGAACCTCTAGAGTTCTCTAAACTTGGTCAGCAGGTGTCCCTGGTGACTTGTAGAAGTTCCTGATTTCTCACATCTATCACCCCTACCAAGTCTAGTTCTCCTACTTAGAGTTTTTTGAAGTAGATTCCAGGCCTGCGTTGCGTATACAGGTTGTTGCTCAGGTGCGGAGTTAAAAAGGACACCATCTGGCAGCAGCTGCAGGGAGGGGCCTGGGAGAAGTTCTGGAAAAGCACACGACCCTTCGAAGTTACCTGGTCTGATGGCGTGAGAAAACTCACCTGGTAACAGAAACCCTATTTTAATTTTTAAGCACAAGTAAAAATATCTTCTTCATCTTGATATACAAGAAAGATTTTTAATGAAGTGAATTTCATTCTAAACACTCAGTACTGTTTCCCCAACTGGTCCATGAGACATTCTTGTCTCCAGAGATGCTAACACTTGTTCTTCTGAAAAAATAAGTTCTGAGATCAAGAAAGTGTGAGAAATGCTGCATTAAATAAAGCCTCAGAGCTATTGCTGCAGGTCTCAGAACCGTTTAGATGCAGATATACATTGTGAGTGTCCAAAGGGGATGTTGTGCCCCATTCCCACGTGTACCTGAGTGCAAGGAACCCTTTCCCAAGAGTGGTCTGTTGATGTTGTCTGAGACCAGTGTTCTCAAAGTGCAACCCAAGAGGTTTGCACTGACCATATCACTAATAACATTAAGTGGGAATGGGTTAAACAACTCATCAAAAGACAGAGATTGTGTGATTGGATTAAAATGTATGCTCTCTACAGGAGGTAGATTTTTTTTTGGGGGGGGGGGTACGTGCCCCTAGCAGAAACCGAACCCGGGACTCTGGTCCACAGGCCGCCACTCCAACCGCTGAGCCAAACTGTCCAGGGCTACAGGAGGTCGATTTTAATTTAAAAATACAAATAGATGGAAAGTTGAATAAAGACATGCTGGGCAAAAAATCCCACCATGGAGTGACTGTACTAATATTAGACAAAATAGACATGAAAACAAACAAAAAACTGTGACTGGAGGTAAAGAGGAACATTTCATTATGAAAAAGGGTCAATCCATCAAAAAGAAAAGGACATTTGGGATATACACACAAATATATATTACTAAATCACCCATAGGTCACAGAAGAAAAAGGGTGATTACAGAATGTGAGGGATATGCAAATCAGAACTTCAGTGAGGTACCACTTCACACCCACTGTGATGGCCACCACGACAGAGGGAGACAATGTCAGTGTTGACAAGGATGTCAACACACTGCTGCTAAAACGGTAAAGACGCTTTGGCAGACAGTTTGGCAGTTATTTGAAAGGTTTAACATTCAACTCTACTTACAGTCGATGCCCAAGAGAAAGGCACATGTCTATCCAAAAACTTGTCAATAAATGTTTATGGCAGCACAATTTGTAATGGCCAAAAAAAGCCTATCAGGGTTCTCCAGAGAAGCAGAACCAATAGCATACATTGGGAAGAGATTTATTATACGAAATTGGCCCATTGATTCGGGAGGCTAGCAAGTCCAGAATCTGCAGAGCCGATGCCAGTGTGACGGCCGTTAGGCAGGATGCTCTCTTTCTGGGGGACAGTCAGCCTTTTGTTCTCTTCGTGCCTTCAGCTGATCAGGCGAGGCCCACCCGGGCAGCCCACTCAGTCTGCGGTTAGGGAAGCTGAGGCCACGAGCTTCTGTGAGAGAACAAGGACAGAGCGATGAGTCTTTCAAGTGAACACACAAATCTCAAAGGGAAATATTTGGGGGCAGTGAGTTGTTAGGCTGCTGGCCAGTGGCATGATAGTCTGAGGACATGAACGGGTATAGAGCCAGCAGCCTGTGCCCAGGTCAAAGCCTTCCACGTGTGCCTTCTGCATACAAGTCATTTCCTCAGTCAATTG